CTCTCTCTCTCTCTCTCTCTCTCTCTCTCTCTCTCTCTTCCCCCCCCCCCAAGGCAAACCACTCCCAGCCCTTAAAAAGGCACGGGCCGCCAACCCCGGATTGCCAGGTGGGCACTGCCTATAGGTTCACGCATATGCAAGCAGCTGACAATCATTGCGTGATCACAGCATAAGTCAGGTCTTAGCCATAATTAGGAGCTGATTATCAGATGTGGCTCCACGCAGCTCGCTACAGAGGGTGAGGGAAATGGGAGGCTGGGAGGAGGCAGAAATTTTTTTTTCAATAAAAAATATATATAAAAAAAGAATTCTGGCTCACCTTTGAACTTGAATAAACAATCACAACATACTAGGATAAGGACCCTGAAATGTGGGTATACTCTGCTAATAAGGCCCATTATATAAAGTATAATGGTCAAGGGAAATCACCAATTTCAGAATAAAAATACAAACCTACGGTGTGAAAAGTTTGAAGATGCAGTTTGGCAAAAACTTAACTCATTCTTATAAAGGAGATGTGCAAAGAGAATCAGGAGTCCAAGGTCAGCCTCAGCTTTGAAGCTCATAGAAATCCCAACCTGTTATACTACAGTGGTAACTTTGTACAAGGAACGCCAGGTCCATAATTCCACTGGCTCTAGGAACCAAAGTTTGGCTCAGGCATTTTTGGATCAAGCTACATGTCCAGGAGTACAGGAAGTAGCATTGTACAATAAAGATCCCAGCACCAGACCCAAGTAGGGTCAGTCTCAAAGCCCTGAACTATACATATACACACATACATGCATACATACACACAAATACCTGAATTAGGTACTGACCACAGTCTTATTTGTTTCACCAGGGCTGAAAGGGCTGGTGGCAGCAGCAGCAATCAAAGACAGATTTCTTGTTTCAGGCTACTGTGGACTAGAACAAATTCAGCCTCCTAGACCACCAAGGCTATTCATAACTCAAGGCCAATTTCTGGATGCAGTGTATGTGAATGTATTTGGTTTCATCTAGAAACTTGCCAAGATGAACTGGAGAAGCTGATAGGAGGAGAGAAGGCAGAACCTAGCCCAGGTACAGCTTGTGATCACTAGGGACCCTGCTCAGGACACTATGCAAAACTTCCACTAAACCTGTGGAACTCTGTCCAGCTGGTCTGCGGGTGTGCGCTGTAAGTTGCTGAATGGACCAGAGGAATACGAACTCTAGACAAGGAAAAGAAACTGGGATTAGTGGCCGGACTTGTAGGAGAGCTACCATGGAGACAGCTCACAAAGCAGCTGTGGTGAGGTGGAAAATGTCAGTACAGTTGATTCTCAGATAACCCTCAGCATATACCAAGCATTTGAGGCACATGAATTTTCTAGAATTCTCCTAGCAAATCTAGGCATCCAGATATTTTTTCCAATTACAGGAAAAGTTAATGACAGTGGCAAATATGGCGTGTAAAATTCAAGAGACAGGCTAGGTGGAGGCATCTCTTTGAAGAAAATTAAGTCTATACCATAGAAACATCTAGGATACAGTTTCAGAAGAGGCTTGGTTTCTAAAACATACTAATTACTATGCCAAGTGGCCTGTTAGGGGAGATGAACTTCATAACTCTAGAAGCATTGCTGATCCTCTAAGATAAGCTCCAGCCTTGCAATCCCCTTTTCTTTTCTTTTGATTGGGGGGAGGGGGTCCAGTGTGGGAGGATAGTCCCTTGCCTCAATAGGAAAGGCGTGACTGCCATTGGCTAGAGGATTTCCTATGACCACTTTGAACTGAAGCAGTAGGGTCTTTCCTGAATATTTTCCTGACTCTGCTCCTGGCAATCCCCTCCACCACTTCAGATGGAGGGGGCTCATGAGTGCTCGAATGTAATGAGAACACATTAATGCAGAAAACTTCTGCAAATGATTATTTTATGGCCATGCGCCCAGTGGGAACCCAAAAGCAATTAATTAAATAATTCCAGCTTGGATTCCAATGGCATGTTGTTTCAAAAGAGTCCTGAGAAATATCCCTCTTCAGAAAAAAGATGTGCATAAAAAGGAATAAAAATCTTTCCTGTTCCTTCTAATTTTTTCTAAAGGAAATAGAAAACAAACAAAACAAAAACCATTTGAGTACTTAAACTAATGAAGGTCACAAAGGCCTGCAGATCATTCCAAACTCAATAAACCCTCAACTAGTCCACTTACCTACTAGTGATGAAACAAAAAGAGCAAAACAATTAGAAACACCTTTAATATCTAAAAAAGTTCCAAATATAAACTTGTATGATACAAGTTCATTTAACATGTTTAGCAGTTTTATTGTGTTGTCTTATTTCAAAAGCTCTACTGCAGGCACCATTTGATGCTCTGAACGTGGGGATATTCAGAGATGCACTTCTGAAAGGGTCGTCCCTGGGCTCGCTATTTGTTATTGTCAGAATTGAGCTGCGATCCAAGGTTGAACTGTAATGCTGTCTAGCTCATTCCGGATTGTGTATTTTAATCAATAAGTCCATTTCAATTAGGATGGTGCTGCTTGTGAAAAAAATAGGAGACATGTGTCATGTTTTCAGGAATAAGCTTCTATCAAAAGACAATTAAATCTTCCAGAATTTTAGTGTTCAGGTTTGTTTTTGTTTTTGTTTTTCAAGACAGGGTTTCTCTGTAGCTTTAGAGCCTGTCCTGGAACTAGCTCTTGTAGATCAGGCTGGCCTGGAACTCCACCTGCCTCTGCTAGGATTAAATGTATGTGCCACCACTACCACCACCCAGCTGTGTTCAGGATCTTAACCTAAAAATGCTGATACACTCAGCTCAAGAAAAGGATGAAAAATGTGGTCACAACGAGGTTCTTCTTTCCTGCCAGTTTCCAAGAGACCAAGTGCCCTGCCACCAAGCAGCCATGGGAGACAAGTCTCCAAGTGCATTTCAACAGAAACAAAGTCAATCGGGAAGAAGCACTGCCTGTTTGAGCTCTAGACATTTCAAAATAATGCAATAAAAGCTAAACTGTTCCAAAAAGTTTCTTTATTGCACTATGTACTTATCTCCCTGTGTCCCGGTAGGGTGACCTATCCAGACAGGACACAGGTTTTTCTGGGTTTTCTGACTTGTCTCAGCACTGTAACATACAAAAGAGAGCTGAATACCAATCAGATAAGAGAACTAGAAAAGTGTGGAAAGTAGCTTACCTACCCCAATTTGTCTCTTACCAAAAATCCCCCACCCCACCAAAAAACAAACAAACAAAAAACCTGAGGCATCATCTGGCACACAGTAGAGACGAGCTCCCCTAGCACCTTCCTAGCAGAGACCTAAGGAAGCAGGTACACATGCACACTGAAGGCGAACCAAGATCCTAGGACATGGAGATCATCTAATTCAATGTTTCAATTTCATAGAAAAGAAAAATGAAAAGGAGGCACCCTTTTCACCCATAAACTATCCTAAATCTAATGTGTTCAGGCAGTAAGAGAGCATATTCTAACCAAAGACCATTAACGAGCAAACGAACTAACGAACACGCATAGGCACATTTACCAAGAGCAATCTGAAGTTAAAAAACTGCAGTCAGAAGAGGCATGCAGCAGGACACAGTATCATTCGGTATAGTGGAAAATCTAAGAGCTGGCCCCATTGGTGGGATACCAAAGAGGGTAGCCTAGGAAACAGTGCTATGCGAAGCTAATGAAATCTGGAGCTCTGCAGGTGTTCTCAGAAAAGAATCCGAATCTGATAAAAAACACCTTTGAAATCCAGTAGTATCAGCCTTGAACATCTCTCTCAGAGCAACAATTTAAATTTAAAATTAGCAATCTCCTTATTCCTCGTACCTATCAGGGCATATAAAAGTCTTCTCACCCGCAGTCACAATTATACTTTCCCTAACACAGATATGCTCTTAAGACAGGAGGGCAGCGGGCTACCATCCCATGCCCCGTATACACCCTCATCCAGGCACTTGAACCTGAATGCCAATGGAAAGGCAGCTCTCTCAATAAGTTTCCATGTTGTGACCTAAAAGATGGACCAGTGGGTAAAAACATTCGCTAGTCCATGATTTAAAAGATGATCACAAAACTTTGGCATCTTTTTGACAATCACTATTAATTGTTTCCTCTTCTGGTGCATAATCTGTACTTCATCTGGCAATTATAATCATTTCCACATAGAACGTCTTCCTTTTTTTTTTTTTTTTAAACTAGAATACTTTTGAGCTATACTAAGTTCTTTGTCCACAAAGGGTCTGGTACTTAAATGCCCTTAAGAAATCTGGCTGATACCTACATTGACACCCTTCAAAATTTATTCTGAGCCCTCACACAGTCTGCTTACTACTACAGCCTGAAAGGTGACTTACCATGTCCGTTGTGTACGTGTTTATGGGTTTTTCCTTTCCTGGGGGTGGACTGGCATGAAGACGAAGCATTGTTGTTGGCTGTTTTGACATCTTCTGTCTCGTCATCTTCTTCTTCGACATCCTCCTCGTCCTGAGAGCTTCCAAAATATACCATACTGCTGGGCAGCGCAGGAGAACCTGGTGGAATAAGACATGTAATACAGCTCATCAAACACCGATCTTGACCCTTCCAGAAAGAGGATTCCACAGGAGAAAAGTTAGTTAGTTGTAAAGTTAGTACCCTAACCGCATGTGGATCACATAAAACAAAGCCAGTCATCGCTGCTAGCTGCTACCACTTTTAATTTATTTCCAAATACTCCCTAGGAAGTACAACTCCATCTGCCTCCTTTAGCAATTTCAAGCAAAACCCACAGAAGGGGATAATACTATTCATCAAGAACAGCAAATTAAAATTAAGAATCATATCTGCAACATTGCCACAGAAAACAAACCACAAACAACAGCAAGGAATGAATTACACAAGAAACTTGTGAGTAAAATGAAAACATCCACCCATGTTGTTGGGGGATTACTCTACAATTATTAATGGGGGAGGGAGAAGGAATTATTTTTTTCCAAGGTTACTTTCTTATTATCTTAATATAAAAGCCAGGTATAGATTACTCCCAACACATCAAGCACTTACAAACTAGTCTGAGGTTATAATAGGATATGGCAATATTAAAATAAATTCCTTGGACTGGAGAGATAGCTTAGTAATTTAACAGCACTGGCTGCTATTCCAGAAGCTAGGTTCAATTCAAAGCACCCACAGGGAAATACTTTCTGGTTCCAGGGGCTCAAGCTCCATAAGTGCCAAGTGGTGCACAGACATAAATGCATATGCATACACATAAAAATAAACTCCAATAAAACACTCATAAAAGTGTGGGGATAAAAACAAAGTGATTTACTCAAAAAATATTGCCATCTTAGCAATGAAATGAAAGCTGTTAACCCCACAGGAAGGTCACTCTCCAATACAAAAACAGTCTACTTCTCCCTTACCAAGCAAAGCCAACCTAGAGGGAGATAGAATTAAATCACTGATACGCTGTCTGAAATCAGAGAGCAGAGGGAAGAACTTGGTTTCCCTCCCCATTAAACACTACCAAGTACCATAAGGAGTAATTTTAAAAGTTCTTCTTATATACAACTTTCCTGTGTATGCCCCAAAAGGAAATCTCAAACGTCCTCCCAGGGCTGGAAATACAACTCAATCTCCAGCATACATATGGTGGCTGACAACACTGCCTAATTCCAGTTCTGAGGGATCTAGTTTCCGCTTCTGACCTCTGAGGTACCTACTGGAGAATATTATTTTAAGGTCTATTGCTTTTGTTTATGCTGCATTTGTTTAACTCTGTGAAGCTGTGATTCTTTGCCTGTCTAAAACACCTAATGGTCTAATGAAGAGCTGAATGGCAAGTAGCAAGGCAGGAGCAAGGGTAGGTGGGCCTGGCTGGCAGAGAGTATATCTAAATAGAAGAAACCAAGACAAGGAAGAGCAAAAGGACATGGACAGCCACCCAACTACACAGCAAGCCATAGAGAAAGAAGTAAAGAAAGGTATACAAGCTGGGTGGAGGTGGTACATGACTCTAATCCCAGCACTCTCAAGAGGCAGAAGCAGGCATCTGCGTGAGTTGGAAGCCAACCTGGTCTACAAGAGTGAGTTCAAGGACCCTGCCTGGAAAAACCAAAGATTAAGGTAATTAAAATGATTCCCAAACAGAAAAACACACAGTTAGGGGGTTGGTGTCTATTTCTTCCCCATAGTAGGATTCAAGCCCACTACAGCAATGACACTAGGAACAAGAGAGGCATTAAAAAGCCACTCTCAAGGTGGCCTCTTTTTGTTATGATACAAGCAAACCCTCATTGGGGTGTTAACTAATAAGAGTTACTAATTTACCACTAAAAATTATGTGTACTTTCCTTAACAACCACTCATTTGAAATGATGATGAAGGTCAACCTGTGGAGAATTAAAGGTGTGTGTGTGGTCAAAGTGAGAGGGGTTGCTGATGTGTTGTTTCTGTGTGGAACAAGGAAATGGTTCATATTCAATGATGATAAATAGTATTGTATTAAAATTACAGCACATTTTTCTCTCCTGATAATTCAAGTGCATTGGCAAATATGTAAAAATTGAAGAGGAGGAGAAGGCAAAAGGAGGGATGGGAGAGGGAGGGGGAAACGGGAGGTGCACTCTGGATCAGACAGGAGGAACCAGAGTACAGAATGCATCTGTGCTTTGCAGAAGCTGTATTTCATTACTTTTCAAAATTAGCTGGCAATGTCTCCACAATATTTACTGAAGTGCAAACAAAATGTTTTCATCTGGACAAAAATCAAACTGTGGTATGTTACAACCACAACAGAAATCATTTTAATCCAAAAGCTTGCTTTTTCTAATTTGGGCTTTGGTTTCTATAAAGTGGGATCCTTCTCCGTGAATTATGTACACAGACCATCCCCTTCCTTGCCATTTTCTTCCCCTCGCTCAACCAGTTCTTAATCTTTAAAAGCAAACAAAGCTCGCTCTGTTTTGGAAAGGCCCTAGAGGGCTTCCTTTGCACACGGTCCTTTAGGTGGAGAGGAAGGGACTGGATTTTGACACAGTTAACAAGGGATGTCCACTGAGTTGAAACCATTTCTCGTGGTTCCACAAAATCAGAAGCTGTAGACAGCAGAAGTAGCTACAAACATTATTCCATGAATCCAATGACATGCATGCCAGACTCGTTCTACACACTTCGACTTTTACATATACACTGGAACTCAAAGATGAAGGTTCTTTAAAAGAACATAAGGCAACTACCAGAATGTTCAATCTCTGGTGTGATGTGGGAGTGTCATATATCAATCTGTTGATTTCATTGGCTGAGCAATAAAGAAACTGCTTGGCTTAGCTTAGAGCATAGATGGGAGGAGGAAACAGAATAGAATTCTGGGCGGAAGAGGAAGTGAGGTCAGACTCTGCTCTGCTCCCGGAGAGACTCGACAGCTCTGCTCTGGAGCAGAGATGCCATGCTTGCCATGCTACACTCTCCCAGGATGGACGAAGGCTAGAATCTTCCTGGTAAGCGCACCTTGGGGTGCTTACACACATCATTAGAAATGGGCTAGTCCAGGTGCGAGAATTAGCCTGTAAGGGTTAGAGTTCATGGGCCAAGCAGTTCTTTAAATGAATACAGTTTGTGTGTTGTTATTTCGGGCATGAGCTAGCCAAGCGGCCGGGGTGTTGGGGACGCAGCCCCGCCGCTCCTATTTCAACACTGGTGGTCCTTCCAGGCCAGGTTTTACAATCCCAGGGGATGGGGGAGATGGGCATACATACCTAGCTTCCACATGCTAGTCTTTTACTTTAGAGGGAATCATGCTTATAGTTTACTGATTATTTATTTACTTATGATTTATTTATGTTCATGATTTCTCTCCATTTGTGGCAATGCTGAACTGCTATCACTTCTAAAGCAAAAAGAAATTATACTTTAAATTGTGTCAATATAAAAGGAATTCATCAAGTTATAGGAGACACCAAGTGTATGTATGTCTGTGTGGTATGTTAGGGGTAACAGCTTTATCCAAAAGAAAACCCATCCCTTATTGAAAAAGAGACCCACTTGCCAATCAGGAAAATGGTCTCTATGGTACCCGGCTCTTGGTTCTGGAAGACAATTATGAGGTGGGAACAGTATATTTATCCAAAACTACTCTTATGACTGTTGTGGGATCACTATGTCAATATATTTTGCTGTGATTGGTTTAATAAAGAATGACTAGTCAGTAGCTGAACAGAATAAAGTTAAAGCAGGAGAGCCAGACTAGAAGAATGCTGGGAGGAAAAGGGGCAGAGATGGTGTTCCCCGACAGACACAAAGGGAACCAAGACATGCTGGAAGACGGGTAAAGCTGCGAGCCATGTGGCAATACACAGATTAATAGAAATGGGTTGCCAAACGGTGGTGGAGCATGCCTTTAATCCAAACACTTAGGAGGCAGAGACAGAGCTTTGTGAATGCTAGGATAGCCTGGTCTATAGGTTCCAAAGCTACAGAGAAACCATGTCTTCAAAATAAAAAATTAATTTACACTTTAAAAACAACTTAGTAACAAACTTGAGCTATTGGCCTAGCATTTGTAATTAATATTAAGCTGCTGGGGGACAGGAAAACTCTGCCTACACACAACCACAAGGGTGTATGGCAATACATGCAATGGCACTCTGAACACCTCACAGGAAAATCCTATTAGGCTATTTCTTCAAAAATAACTCATAAATTATACAATTTGTCATTCAGCCTGATGATGTGGCTCAGTGACTAAACATATCTGCTGCCTGAATTTCATCCCAGGACCCATGCTGGTTGAAAGAAAAAGAAAGCAAGAAAGCAAGAAAGCAAGCAAGAAAGAAAGAAAGAGCTCTCCATAAGTTGTTCTCTAACCTAATTTGTGAGTCGACCATTACTCTGATTAAATTAATGTAGTAGTAGGAGTGGTGGGGCTGCATCCCCCAAAAGGGGAAATGCTGGAGGAAGGTCATTGGTTAATTAAATAAAGAAACTGCTTGCCCTGATAGGTTAGAACATAGGTGGGTGGAGTAAACAGAACAGAATGCTAGGAGGAAGAGGAAGTGAGCTCAGAGACGCCATGCTCCCCTCTCCCGGGCTGACGTGATAGCTCTGCTCTCTGAGGCAGACAGAGGCAATGAACTCCGACCCAGGATGGACGTAGGCTAGAATCTTCCAGGTAAGCGCACCTTGGGGTACTACATAGATTATTAGAAATGGGTTAAGAGGCCAGGTGGTGTTTAAAAGAATACAGTTTGTGTGTTGTTGTTTCGGGTAAAGCTAGCCAGTGGCAGGTGCTGGGTGGCAGAATGCAACCCGCAGCTCCTTACTACAAATTAATTTAATTTAAATATAGAACATTATATAAATGAGGGGATAGGCAAGTCTATCTTCTTTCCCAAATGGGATGTAAAGTCAGGCTCTAGGATTGTAAAAATGAAGAATGATCTATCTCCAAAGTTAGAAAAGCAGTCAAGCTTCTGTAGAGCAGAGAGCCCTGTTCACTCATTTGAGACAAACAGCATGGGAGGTGACAACTTCCTAGACTTGGGTCCCTCCTGGACACTGCCCAAGCACATCTTGGTGCTGGCCATGTAATCCCTAACATAGCAAATTCCTTGTCTGGAAGTCTGGATTATACTGCCATGTCAATGAAAGGTAAAGGATTCAGCATTCAGAATGGGCACTGTTTCCATCAATGCCCTCTGTACAAGAGTAGCTTCAAGTACAAACACAGATAGAGAAATTATGATGGGACATGCCTCACAAAAGGGACCATTTTGACCAATAAAGTTCAATCATCAATAACTAACTCAATCTCTTTCTCTCTCTTTCCCACAAGTCTGGGGTGTCTCAGTGTGAAGAAACCATAGCATACAGTAGCTACTATGATGGTGTACAGTATACAGTATACATACAGCACACAGTAGCTACTATGATGGTGTACAGCCTGAGTAGCTCCCAGCCACAAAAAACAACTAGCACAAGCTGAGAAGTGGAAATAAGGAAACCTAGATTTGTGAACTTCCAGTTGCTATAAGCCATCAAGTCTGAACATGAATTTATGATTTATGCAAAGCTTTTTCAGATTTCAAGAGACACTAAACCATTTTCTGCATGCAGGGCAAAGACAACAATAACTTCAGAGGAACCTGTAGTATGACATGCACTAAGCCAGCAAGGTGTCTGGGTACCACAATTCCAACCCCTCCCTCCCATATACTTTCTTCAAAGAGTTCCAAAAGGCTCAAGAAACACTAAGTGAGACACTGAGGAGAAAGACGGTATTCTGGAATGTGCCACTGAAGCCAGACCAGCCACCTGACAGTGGGAGTGAGTTTGATTTACCTGCCTGTAGGGCAAACCTGGTTGGAGGCCAGCTGGCCTGAAGCCTGGCCTCAAAGTCAAGGTCTCAGGGCAATCATAAAAACATTCATCTTTCTCTGATCAAGAACTCTGAGGTTTCTGATTTCTTCATTACTAGCAGAGAAACTATACTATGTGTGCTACAGTGCCTTGGGGAAAGCAGACGCTGGCAGGCTAACCACAGAAGCCAGCAAAGCATACTGAATTCTGTACTCAGAAATTAAGAAGAAATAGCTCACAAAAGTGACCTGAAAACCCCTGTTTACCACTAAGACAGCCTGTCTTCCTCCCCAAAGAGTATTTTCCCCAAGAAAGTTTGCTATTAGCAAACACCATGCTCATTGCAATTGGGAGATTAATTCCTTTCTTGCAGGCAATTAACTCTAATTATATGATCTTTCCTTTTAAACCACCCCAGACTTTTGCACTGCCCTTTTGACAATTCTCCTCCTCAATACCCAAGGCCAGTGACACAACAATGTATACCTTCTGGGTAGGGATAGACACTGTCTACATATAAAACTCCACTGCTGAGCTGCCAATCATTACCTAGACAGTATATCTGAGAATCCTTTTGAGACTACCCAGATCTCAATCTAATCCTCTGACCTCCTTGGCAGCTCTATAAAACAGCAAATAAATGTACCTGGACGGCCGCCTCTCAGACAGTCACTAGAACCCATTTCACACCTACTAGTTTTAGTTTAATCCCTAGCAACTCTGACTACAGAAACCATATAACCAACAGGCTGAATGGGGAATAAATCAGCAGTCCAATACCCAAGCATCCGTAGAGGGAGAGCTAGTAACGCCCCTCACTGGCCTCAGACTGCTGTTACCTGGGCATGGTAGAGCGGCGGTTCCACTCCCATACCTCCAGAGACTCCCCCTTCCCTGGGCAGAGCTGGGAGCCTGCACTGTGGTAGCCATGGTCATAAGAATGGACTGTGTGCTGTCTATGTTTCATGAGTCCCCTTCAGGAATCCTCCTCATTTGCAGTGCCCCATAAAAAGAAAAATGTAAATAACCCGCCATTGCTCTGCAACATTAAGCTCTTTTAAATCTCTTAGTAATTATGGTCAGAACAAAGACAGGAAGACAGAACTCATTAAGAATAACGAGATTGGTGACAGGAAAGGCAGCCACCGCACTGCATTGCCTCCTGCAGCACACATCCAAGGATCTTTCCCCAAGCGCACCCTTGGAAGATACAAATTATGCCTCTGGCAAGAAACGTGCTCCCCTTCAGAGCAGTTGTTTAAAGATAAATGAACAACAGCAGGGCAAACATGTCAGGTCCTGCTTCAGTATTCATTCCACCCTGCTTCTTTAAGTTCTAGGGTGTGACATCAAGTAGGAGAGGAAAGAGAAGCCCTGCTAGTTTGGCTGACGGTGTCACAGTGCACTGAAGCTAACCAACCCAAATCACTAGGTTGTAAGGACACTAACTATAGCAATCCTTTAAGGATTCCTTAAAGGAGTTTTCTAGAGAGCTCTTTGGCTCTCGTGTTACCAATGATGGAAAACAAACAAGGTTTAAAGAACTCTAATCATTGGCTTTCCTGTAGCCCCATCACTTAGTCAGTATTCCAAACTATTCAGGAAAATACCTGAAGCCTGTAGAAATGACTCAAGTCTTCGGCCAAAAATATTCTTCCATGTATTTTATTTATCCCTGACTTTCCCCTTTAAAAATTAATAATTTTCCAAATGTTGGGGGCTGGAGACATGTCTAGATACTTCCTATCCCCAGATCAATTTGCTGTACACCACCCACATTGGGCAGCTCACATAACCTGGAACTATTCTCAGAAAATATACAAGGGTATCTATTCTTTGAGGGTACCTGAGAGAGCGCACAGCACACGGGCTCATATATGCACAGGGAAAGGAAGCGTGGGATTTTGAAAAAGTGAGACAATTTCTCCCACACTGTCATCTACGGATGGCTGTCTACATTCTTCAAAGGAAGAAAGACAGAAAGCAAGCAAACAGGCAAGCAGACTAAGAAAAATAAAAGGTTTCCAAACTGTTGCGTGCCTAAAAATGCCACAGATTGCATAGAGGTTGACATAAACATATCACACTGTGAATCCAGAAATAAACAAATTTCATAATTTCCACAATACTTAACACAGAAGGTATATAGTTACTTTTCAAAAAAGAATGAGATATACTTTCATGACATAATAAAAAGTTTAACAACTTTTGTACCTTAAAACTCAAATTCAAATAATAATTGAAGAAGCACATCATCTACACAGCCCCATACACTACAAAATACAAGTTTTCCATACCCAAAGCCATTATATTATAAAATAACAGTAGGGTCCACCGAGGATCCAGGATAGGCAGGGTGCAAATCTATCCTCTAGGGCTTATACAATTCAACAAAGAAACTTATGAGAAATCTGTCTAAAGGAAAGACTTTGAAAACTAACTTTTAATAGCTGAGATGAAAACCTGTAAGAAAAATAGAAAAGGAATATAATAAAAATCCACATGGTAAACCAGCTAAGAAAAAGCAAAATGTTTTAGTTGCCTGGTTCTGTAGGTAGAGGAATACAGTCATTGGTCCGGGGCTCACTTATTTAGAGCTTTGCTAAAAAGGCGACTGGCTATATAAAAGGCGATTTTCTTAATACTGAAATCTCAAGGCTGTGTGCATGGTAAAATTTTATTCAAGTGTTATTATTACATACCCCACCCCTAACCACTTACAATAGAGGAGATAGAATTTTTAAAACAATTCACATACAGAAAAATATGGTACATGCAGACAAACACACTCTGCTCTACTTACTGTTACTCAGACAATCCTTGATTCTTACCCATCTTCAACGCCTAATTACAGTTCATTCTTGTTAAGATTCACATAACTAAACTCCATGATGACAAAGCAAATTTCCATTATCTTAACACCAAAATCATTTTCCTAGCTGGTTGTGGTAGCTCATACCGTTAATCCCAAAACTCAGGAAGCTAAGTTTAAAAAAACAAAAACAGCTTCTGAGGCTTTGAGGCAGGTCTAGATAGCATCATCAAATCCAGGTATGCCAGACAGAGTCCAACATTCTCTATCAAAAACACAAAAAGTGGCTCAGGGGTTAGAACATAGGCTATTCTTGCAGAGGACCTGGGTTCAAGACCCAGTACCTACACATTAGGTTATAACCATCTATAACTCCAGTCCCAGGTGCCTCGTGGTACACTTACATGAGCGCAAGCAAAACACCTAAATACGCACACAAAAAAAAGCAGAAGAAATCATATGTGGCGGCTGGAGAAATGGCTCAGAGGCTAAGATCACTGGCCGCTCCTGAGTTCAATTCCCAGCAACCACATGGTGGCTCACAAACATCTATAATAAGACCTGGTGCCCTCTTCTGGCCTTCAGGCATACATGCAGGCAGAACACTGAATATACAATAAATATTTTTTAAGAAAATGAACAAAATATGTGGCATTTGCACACACAGGCATGCACACATACGCATAAAGAAGAAAACATAACCGGGAATGGTGCCACATCTTTTTAACTCCAGAACTCAGAAGGTGGAGGCAGGCAGATCTCTACAAATTCAAAGCCAGCCTCATATACACAGAATTCAGCAAGGGTTACATAGTGAGGGCCTACCTTTACAAAACAACAAAAACCTACCCTCAAATCAAACAGAGAAATGAGGATAACACTGTGATATCATCTGTACTGCAAGCTTACCTCGAAGGCAGAGAAAGGTAAGAAAGTCTTCTGTCTTAGGCTTCCTTTTAGAGAGGTCAGAAATTTGAGTGGCTGGCGGGGGTAGCAAAGGCTCCACTATCTTCACTGGAGTTGTGCTGGGACTATTCGGCTGGGACTGAGCAAACTTTCTTTGTGCTTGCAGCCTGGGCCTGCAACAGCAAAAGAAAACTATATTAAGCAGAGACTGGAGGATACAGTCCTGCATATGCAGCAATAAAACCATGATACAGGAGGAAAGAAAAGATAATCTCTCGAGCAAACTCTTAGGAATTAAATCTCTACATCTCTCTCTTACTCTCATAAACCACTGCGTGCTTTATTGCTCAGTAAATCTGTCTAAGGGACTATTGTTTTATGTGTAGGCATAAAATGTGTGTACACTGTGTGTGGAAAGGGATGGAGACAGGAGGACCATCAGTACAATGTTAACACAGACTCTACAGAATGTCTCAAAAACAAGGGGAAAAAAAGGTTTTAGCACAAGAGATGAGCTGTCCTAATGACCTCAGGCCACACATTGAACAGTACTAGGTTTCCATCCACTATTTCTCAAGTAGACATGATTTCCTTCCCTTATTGTGCCCAAGACCTAGTTTACTTCTCTCTGCCTCAAATAAACAAGTAACCCACCACCTATAATCCTGAATTTAGTCATAACTGGGAAATATAGATCAGTGGCAGAGTGAACTTTACCATGCAGTAAGAGCCACTGAGATGGCTCAGTGGTTAAGGTGTTTTCATTACAAGCCTAATCCACAGGACTCGGAAACTGTTCTTTGATCTACACACCCTCACTGGTATATAGAGGTGCGTGAGTGTGTGCAAGCTGGAATTAAAAGACTGTGCATAAATAGTCCCCAAAACAGCTCCAGGCTAGTGTTTATGCCTGGTATTTGGAACAAGTGTTCAAAGACTAGGTGTGTAGAGGGGTGTTAATAAGCCCCCCCCCTAGCTGTATAGGGGGGAAAAACAAGAGAGGAAAAAGAATGAAGTCATGTATGGAACAGGCAGACAACACTCCAAGTCTGGTGTTTCTGATGGAGAAATAAGAAGCATGCTACTTTTTTTAATAAGTTATTTTTATTTTATTATTGATTTTATTGAGCTATACATTTTTATGTGTTCCCTACCTTTCCCCTCGCCTTCAACCCTCTCCCATGGTTCCCAGAAGCATGCTAACTTTTAAGAGGAACTGGGTGATTTGTATCTCAAAAGTCAGATTCAGTCATCCTAAAAAGCAATGCAGAAAGAAGGTAAGACAAGACTTCCATAATTGTTTTTAAGGACCAGGAGACTACCATATCGCTGCTATTAAGTACACAACTCCCCGCTCCTTTATTTAGGAGACACACGTGGGCAAAGCAGACTGTACGTTCTTAAGAAACTGCCTGAATGCATGGACACGGGAGACTAAGATGCACAGGTGCAGGGTCATAAAGGAGAAGGACCCAAGGCCCTGCTCCAGGTGAAGGAGCTGGTCAAACCACTGGAACTGTATCCAAAAAAAGATAGACCAAAGATTGGTTTATCACCAACACCCAACGACAGAGCCATATGAAGTATGGGAGTGACTGTTCTGGTGCCTACCATGTGCCACACAACCATCCATAGACATGGCCTCTTAGGCCAAGGAAGAGGTTCCTGTTATGAACGTGAGCTGACAGCCCTACAATTTAGAGTGTACATCACCTGTACTTCTTGATAAAGCCACATGAACTTCAGGGAAGAGAATCCCCTCCCCTCCCATTCCTGAAATTACATGCAACAAGCTGGGTTTCCAGTTTCCCTCTTATTTGGCATTAGGTAGTATTGCTAACAGCCAGATGAAGAAGTTTGCTTCCCCTTGAGGTCAAGATAATACAAACCCAAAATCCTACCAGGAAGATGACTGAGGCATGACCAATCCAAGCAATGCAGTGAGGATGGGGAGATGGCTCAGTCAACATCTGCTGCACCAGCGGACCTAAGACTGAGCCAACATGCTCATGTAAAAGATGGACTGAGGGCTCTGAGTCCAGTCTATAATGCCAGCACCCACAGAGGCAGAGACATAAGAACACCTGGGGCCCTTGCTCCCCCCCCCCCCAGTCTAACTCAATCAATGACCTCCAAGTTCAATGAGAAACTCTGTCTGAAAAAAGTAAAACAGAGTCATCAACAAAGACACCTGAATTGGACTTCTGGCTCCATACACATGTGCACATACCATCCACACACCCCAAATTCTTTATAAATCCTTGAGGATATTTAAAAAAAAAGGTATCATAGCATGTTTATGAAAACAGACATGTACACCGAAGCACTGGGTTGCAGAGGCAGCTCTCAGAACTTCTCTGCTCTAGTTGGTTTCAGATCTAGTTATGTTCAGTAAATACTTCGGCAACTATTATTTTTAAAGTTAGCAAATTGAGAAAAGGCTAACAAATAAAGTCCATGGTGAGCCCAAAATGTACATATGGATTTTTTTTTTTACCTGTTCTCTCTCCTTTTTCCTTTGTCAAAGATGGACTTGAAAGTTAAGTAGGAAGCTTTCCATAAGGAGCCTCACATGAGGGGGGAGCAATCTTTCTAGGTCTGTTCATCCACCTACGGTACATGATTACCTTACTCTGCTGTGTCACCATCTACTTTAGGGCAATACATACTATAGCAAAAATAGCCAATCCCAGGTAGGCTGAATTACACTGAAATTTCTAACAGTCTCCAAAGCAAAGTGTGTGCACACAATGAGGGATGAAAAGCCATAAATAGTTCAGTCTGTGCAGAGCTGATACCTTGTTAAAAGTTAATTTTCCAATATTAAGATTGTAAGCCGGTAAATCCACTTCTTTAGACTGCACCCCAATTCTAAGCACAGGGTAAAGAGGGTAGGAGGAGGTCTGTTCAATCAAAGATTAGAGACAGCACTTGGCAAATACAAATGACCAGCATGGCTCTACTCTTTGTAGAAGTGTGGGAGCTGGCCCTGACATTTTGCCAACTTGGTGAAAGGCCTATTCAAATAGGGGGGAAAAAATCCTATGTTTCCATCCTCAAAATAATTACCCACAATATTCTACGCCTAGACATACACACACACTACAAACCTGGCAGCTGCTCACAGAAACAAGAGTGTGCTCATGTATGTGCACTAGAGATTTGGGGACAGGAGACACCATCTACCAGGGCAAGGTGCCCATCAAATTCAAATGCTAGTGTCGTGGTGGGCAAAACACACAGGGTGGCTATAAATGTCCTTTGTGGTACAGAAAATATAAATACATCCTCAAATTAAGCCAGAGACCAGAAAATACCACTTCACCCCCAATGTGCAACCTAGTCACAGCTGACATTCCTATAGGCATCATCTCAGGCCTGTTGCCAAGACTGAATCAGCAGTTTGACAACACAACACAATGATGGGGGAGATCACTTGGCTCCAGAAAAAGGGTTTTGCTGCACAGAAGTCCTTTTTTTTGTTTGTTTTTTGTTTTGTTTTGTTTTTTTGCAGGATTTCTTAAGACACAGACATGCTGATTCACAGACGGGGTGGGGCTGGGGGCTGGAAAGATGGGTCAGCAGTTAAAAGGGACATGGCAACTACACAGTGGCTTACAACCATCTGTAATGAGATCTGGTGCGTTCTTCTGGTCTAAAGGCATATATGCAGGCAGAACACTGTATACATAATAAATAAATCTTTAAAAAAACCCACAGGATATTAAATATTTGCAGCCTTTAGCTTAATCAAATTATATAAAGTGCTATTCAGAGTCAACATTTGCTATAGACAAATTTGACTGAGAGAAATTTCTATTGGGAGATCCCTCGCAGGGACTCCTTAAAAGGTTTGGCTTGGTCCAACAGGCACCAGGAAAAGTCACAACTTGGGGTTTGGCTCAACTAACTACATTTTTATCAATGTGAATCTTGGTTTTCCTCAAAATTAAAGTAAGTAAGCCAGGCAGAACAACTCATAGCTGTAATCCAAATGCTAAGGCTGCTGCAAGACTGTCCTGCAGAGCAGTCTGGGTTACACATCAAAGACCCTGTCTCAATACACATCCAAGAAAAAAAAAATCATGACAACCGGGTGACAGATTAGGTTCTGCCTATTTCTAAGCAATGGCTCTCTGCTCAAACAAGGGCTGGTGATGGAGATAATCCCCTGAATAGGTGATATTCCCTTTCTACCAAGTTCTAGCTGAGAAGGACTGATCAGTTGCCAGTGCCTAGTGGCTAAAACTACTAAAGGTGTATTTCCTAGCTGCCAGGTGCCAAAACAGAATCGCGGTCAGTTTTAGAATAGAAAACAGCATAGCACTACAGAAAGTGGAGGAGTCTGAAAACAATGCATCTTTTAAGAAGGAAATCACAATTCTTAACTTTTAAAATAATGGTGATAGTATCAATATCCTTCTTCGGAGGACTCAATCACTCCTAGCCTCCTCAGGAACACTCTAACTACTTTTATAAAGGCATGAGAGACAGCAAGGAGAGGTTATTATTCTTGGGAAGAATAGAATGAGAAAAGAATGTCAAAAGTTAGCAGTGAATACATAAGAACTAGGACAGCTTCATCAAGCATTTACTGGCACACCAAATTTCAAGACAGGTGATAGCAGCATCTCATATATGTGATATACAAAGTAATGAATCTTATAACCCAAAATGTCAAAGCCTGCCTAGAGCCACAAATGTCACTCACCACGAAGACAAAAATGTGACACTAAGTTCCTTTGGGTTCTTTCTGGAATGCAACTGTGCCCCAAAAGAGAGGAATCATTATTAGCTGACAAAGTAGCAACAAAGCCTTTTTGTCCATCACAAATGCCACAGGTCACCTACACATCGGTTTGTGTCAATTTTTGTGTGCCCTCTAGGCAAAGCAGCAATCCCACCAACCCAACTGCAGGACCTTCTCTTATCAAGGATCCAACTTCAAAGGCAGCACTGGCTTACAAACATTCTCCTCAACAAAGCTAAAGATTTCATGAAAAGTTCAAAGAGAACTAACTAAATCTTAAAGGGAAAGAGAGAAAATAAGGATAAGAGTCAAAAGAATAGCTCATAGAAGGGTCTAGACAGGATCTGGCTATAGAAACTCTTACTATATTATGGTAGGTACAAGGTGTTAGCAAATTATCCGAAGTTCACTGTTTTAAAAGCT